CTTCTGTGTTTAATAACTGGATGCAATTTTCCAGCAATATTGATATGGCAAGTTTTGTTTGTAGCCAAGAGATTGCTAAGAGAGGAAAACCATACACAGACTGCGAATACATAAAAAATTGTTTTATAAATGCATCTGAAGAGCTATTTTGGGATTTTAAGAACAAAGCAGATATTCTGAAAAAAATTAAAAAGTTACCATTGCCTGACAAAACCATTAAAGATAGAACAATTAAAACGTGTTCGAATATAACCACCCAGCATATAGAAGATCTAAAATTGGTTTCGGCTTTATCAATCTTGTGACATAAATGAGACAGCGCAAGTTTCACTTTTTGTAAAATTTATGTCTCATTCAGGCCCTAAAGAAGAACTAGGATTATTGCCACTCAAAGGTCAAATGCGTGGAGAAGATATTGCCAATGCTGTAACTGAGTGTATGGATAAACATCATATTCCCCTCGATAAAATTGTGTCAATTTCAAAAGATGGGGCCAAAAGTATGACCGGTGTAAGAAAAGAGGTTGTTGCTATTTTGAAAGAAAAAACTAATCTCGAGATACTTGTTTACCATTGTATCATACACTAAGAAGCGCTTTGTGTGCAAAAATTTCCGGAAGGAATTTGAAATAATTCCCCTATTGATAAACACCATTTTAAAACAATAATTTTAAATATGAGGGAAGTATTTCTCAGCAGGTTTCAGGAATTTAAAAACAGCAGAACAACTTTAGCATTTGTCAAAAATCCTCTTAATGATACGATCACAGAGTGAAATTTTCTCCTTTTGAAATTGACATTGGTAGCTTTGAAATACAATTGCTGGATTTTAAAAACAAGGAGATATGGCACTCTAAATTTGAATGTCTTTGTGTTGAATTGAAAATATTGGAGAAGAAAAAATGTGATCTTAGTTCACAACACAAGTGGTCTGCTTTGAATGACCTGGAGAAGGAAGATATGATCATTTTCAACGTTTGAAAATAGTATTCCTGATTCTTACGATCAGCTGAAAAATCTCACGTTTGCTGTTTCTTTCCTTTTTCGGTTTTACATATATACGCAAACAATCTTTTTCAAGCATGAACATTATCAAGAGTAAACTGAGGAGTCTGATGAGAACTTGGAATCATGCCTAAAATTAAAAACAACAACATACAAACCTGACTTACTCAAACTTTCCCAGGAGATGCAAGCACAATGTTCACATTAATAAATATTTATTAAGCATTAAATTTAATTTTATTTAGTGTAATAAAAGTTTACTAAACAAGCAGATTTGGCTCCCAATTTTTTTTTAAATTGTTCTAATGTTCATATTTGGCTCTTTGGCTAATAAGTTTGCCGACCACTACTGCTCTAGGAAATCAAGATATAGAACATAAAAGAATATTTAACATGTGATGTTAAAAATAGCAATGACAAATGGTAAGGAGGGAGACTTGCTATGATAATATTTCATTGTCAATTACTGCCACATGCAGACTTATGCACTTTATAAAGAAAAGACTTATTCATGACAAAGCTGTGCATTTATTTCAATGGATCATTTGAGCACAAGGCTTGCAACAAATGAGTTTACCTCAAGTGGAAATATTTTTTACTTTGCCTGGACATCAAATCAATATAACAAAAACAAAACGAAATATCAGAGATTTCTTTGAAAGTGTTAAAAACCCTGCAGTCATTTAACCACTGACAATGTTCCCCATCATTAATTTTTCAGCAGTAATTACTAACCCACTAAATGCAAAATTTCTTGTACATGGCTGAAAGGTACGAGTCTCAAAATTGTTACCCATTCTTGTAATCCAGATCTGAACAAGAAGCATATTCAAAGACGTTATTCTGAAGATGTACTCAAGCACTGTTCAATAAATTGCTTGTCCAATACTGGGCATACACAATTTGCCTATTTTTCCACCATCCCTTCTAGCAGACAGATCTATTTACAGCAATAAGCTTGTCTACATCTCAATATTTTGTATATATTGTACAATTTTCTATACATTCTAGGGTACGTCTATAATAACAGCTCACCTAGATTGAATTGCTAATCAACCAAGATATCGCACCACATGTTCTTATATGTCGCTTCATATTAGATTTTTGCTCTCACTACGTGTTCTTATATTAGCATAGTGTTTTACTTTTGTTAAAGGTTTCGAATTTACATTAGTTTTTTAAAAATATTTTTTGCTTTTTTGTGAATATGCAGCTAACAATCTTTAATTTACCAAATACAGAAATGGATACCATATAATTTTTTTCAAATAAGAGTCTTTTACCTTACAGGCAAGTATGCAAAAATGGCCACAACATGAAACTATATGTTAATCATGAAAGTATTTGAAGATGAAATATTTAAAACTGTAAAAACAAAGTAGGTCTCCGTGTTGGAAATTGGTTCAGTTATTCAAGAATATCATTTGTCCCTTCTCTTACATTCATGCATCCTTGATCAGAGAAATTGACGTTCATCAAATGGTGTGACAAGCAGCTTAATATGTGTGAAAATGCTGCAACAGATTGGAATAATTACATGCAGGAAGTGCATTCCCTACATCTGAAGAAAAGATTCAATGGACAAATACGCTGATGCAATAAAATAGTTGAAATCAATGAAAAGTTTGTTTATCTGAATTAAGAACAACAGCAACTAAGTAGTAATTCAGAAGTCAAACAACAAAAATCAGCGTTACATTTTCAAAATTTTCACAGAACTAGTTTCCATGGCTTTACCGAATGAATCACCCTCTTCAGCTGCAAAACCGCAAATGAACAAGATATGAAATAATGATTAGATACGATTAAAAAGCCTGGACAAGAATAAGCAAGTGGCACCATCTGTTAATGACACCAGAACTAAAACATAATTTCTTTAAAGACCGAAGGCAAAGATGGATTGGAATTAGGATCGTTAACTAGAACAGAAAGATTTTTTTTGAATGTGAAATGCCTCTAGAAAATCCAGTTCTCCAATGGAAGATGTTTTTTGAATAATTTTGGCAGCAGAAAAATTGAAAGTGTGATTTTCGGACCAACAATGTTGAGCAACAGAAGACTTCTGTGTTTATTTTTTTCTAACATATGCCTCATGTTCCTTGACGCGAAATTTTAAGGCTCTCTTAGTTTGGCCAATGTAAATTAAACCACACTGGCAAGGATTCCTATAAATACCCCATGAATTCATATCTGGAATGGGGTCCTTGAGTATGGAACTCGGAATTTTATTGATGGGAGAATAAACAACCCGAAAGTTAAATTTCTGCAAAACATGTGCAACTTTATAGCTAATTGATGGAAAGAAAGGAATGACAACAGAATTTTTATAATCTCCTAAAAGAAGAGTGTGCCTTTTAGTGTGCTGAGATGAGAATTTTTTAACTGCTTGATTAATAATGTTGGGTGAAAAGCCCCTATCAATAGCTATTGCTTTTAAATAATTTAGTTCTTCATCAAGGGCTAGTTTGGAGGAGCAAACTTGAAGAGCACGGAAAACATAGGAATAAAGTGAAGCTAACTTTTGTTTAGTCGGATGACATGATTTAAAGTGTGGTGGAAGGCAAACCGATGAAGGTTTACGGTAAACCGTAGTGCTGAAGCTGGATGTGTTACATGTGACCAGAATGCCATGAAATGGAAGAGAATTGCAAGTCTCAAGTTCAAAAGTGAACTGAATAGCAGGATCAATAGAATATTTCTGGATATGAATTCCTGGGGCATTTATAGGATTCCTTGCCAGTGTGGTTTAATTTACATTGGCCAAACTAAGCTTTAAAATTTCGTGTCAACAAACATGAGGCATATGTTAGAAAAAAGGAAACACAGAAGTCTTCTGTTGCTCAACATTGTTGGTCCGAAAATCACATTTTCAATTTTTTTGCTGCCAAAACTATTCAAAAAACATCTTCCATTGGAGAATTGGATTTTCTAGAGGCATTTCACATTAAAAAAATCTTTCTGTTCTAGTTAAGGGTCCTAATTCCAATCCATCTTTGCCTTCGGTCTTTAAAGAAATTATGTTTTAGTTCTGGTTTCATCAACAGATGGCACCACTTGCTTATTCTTGTCCAGGCTTTCTTATCTTATCTAATCATTATTTCCTATCTTGTTCATTTGTGATTTTGCAGCTAAAGATGGTGGTTCGGTAAAACCATCGAAACTAGTCCTGTGAAAATTTTGAAAATATAACACTGATTTTTATTGTTTGACTTCTGAATTAGTATTTATTCGGCGTGTTGTCGTGTCTTAACTAAGTAGTCTCATAATAGTGGATTTTTGGAGTAATATGCCAGAAAGATGGTGAGTGCTTTTTCGAACAGAGATGTCGGTACACTTACAGAGAAAATTCTTCAACTGGTGCAAAATGGATCAACAATGTATTCAGAGTGCTGAAAGGGATATAAAATAGAGCAACTAGAAAAAGCTGTTACAGTCGATTTATTGTATACTTAAGTACAATTTTGTAGACCCAATGAATATTTCTTAAAAAATTAAATAATATAGGGTTTAACCAAGAGATGTAATTAAATACAACGAGGCAGAACTCAACATCACCTCGAAACATATCTTTTGGAATTTATATGGAGAAAGTACAAACTGAAAAAATGTTGTTTTTGATAAAGTGTTGAAAGCAATTTTGGAAACAGGTCTTGTCATAAAGATTATTAACAATATTCTTATGAAACAATATGTGAGTATTTTATTGTTGTTATTGTATATTGCATCATTTGCTTTTATTTTTGCTCTTCACAAGCTGGCACGATATCCCAATTGATTAGCGATTCAATCTTGGATGCTGCTAGGAAGTACCCATTCTAGAAATAGTCATTCAATAAAAGCCAGAAGATCTGCAGTTTTTGTAAAGCTTGTTATGCACCACCTATGTTAAAAAATATTTAGTTTCCTAATATTGAACAACTCAAGCAAATTCAAGAAACTATGACAAATTAAATAAATTGAACTGCATGATAAAAAATTATTTAAAGCCATTAATACCTTATATGAGTAGACTTTAAAATCCGATGCAGAGGTTCAATAGTTGGCATGGCCATCAGTGCATCTTTAGGATTAGTTACTAGCAATAACGGCCAGTCATCCAAGTAATGATCTATGAATGAGAAAATCCCATGGTCCACTGCACAGATACGGTATCTACAAAATTAGATACAAGTTTTAAATACATTTTAAATCTTTGACACTTAGAATGAATTTATGAAAAACTACTTATAAGTGAATAATAAAATGTGTGAAATATTTTAACACTAAATTTAACATTCAGTATATAGTTATCCTTTAACTATTCAAGGGTAAGAGGAGTCATACATTTGTAATAACAAATCCATATATTTTTTATTCCTCCAATATTTAACTATTCTAGCTAGCAAGCTGTTGATCAAAAGCCAAACTGATAATGTAAATTGCTGATTAACACACATTTTGAATAACATATACAGTCATATAATACTGATATCCTTACAATAAAGTAGGGCAGATAAAAAGCTGGTAAAAACTTTACAAGTGGTTATAAGGAAGAAAAAATACAGTTATAATAAAATACTCTGCTTATTGATGTTGTATGCTGTTCGGTGTCTGAAAGAATATTGCTTGGCAGCATTGCTTTACGCCAAGCAGAGTTTGGCTTTAGTGTAACCCTAAAGTTATTTTGTTTTTGCCTTATTAGTATGTATGATTTTTGACTTGATGTAAGAGCATATGGTTGCTCGCTTTTAGCTAAGTTACACAGGTAACTATAAGCACATGCGTGTGCTAGTATTCAATAATGTTGTTTTTATTAAAATAAATTTGTTATTGTTAATATTACAGTCCACTTACTGAAGTTAAGTATTATTAAATAAGTTCGAGCTATCTTCGGCAAGAACATATGCTATCGGTTAATGAGATAAACTGTTTTTCTCTCAGCATTTGCATCAGTACTGTTTTATAAATGCAAAACACTAAAAATAAAAAATAAAAGATATTATTGGCAGGATCATTTGCAATTGAGAATATTCCTGTAATGATAGCAATGCAGTGAGAATATGATTGCTCCATAATTACAAGATAAATCCAATGGATATTTCTACTTCAGAAGAATTTAATTCTCTGACTGGTTAATCTGTAAGCATGGTTATTTTTCCTTTTATTTGAAAATGCAACCCATTTTTCATCATTTAACTTATTATAATGCTTTATACACAATATACTGTCTTTGAAATAGATTTTGAACATTAGATAACCATACTTGACCCTGGATTACCAAGTATTTGAATCCAGTGACTGTTTTTACAAATTAACTGCTGAGTTTACCACTTTTAATCCAACAGCTGACAGAAAATAATCAGCAAATGAGAAATTATTACATTCATGATTAATTATTACATTCTGTAAGTGATATTCATTATTTTGAAAACAATAACATAGATTGTCATTTTTCTGATTCTCCTCTGACAGTAATGGATCTAAAGATAATTTAGTATCCAAACAAGATATAGTATAAAGTCCAAGATCCAGACTTCTATGATCTGGATTTGGGACTTTTCCAAACATTATATCATCATTTTAAATCTGTTAAAATGAAATGTAGAAATTATGAAATTAAAATTAAGAAATAATGAAGCATTTATGACCTTAAGGGAATCCAAATTTATTAAAAAAAGTCAAAATTTATATGATTGCTTCAAATATTTACTATTTAACATTTCTTTCAATGTACATTACTTAATTTGCTTCGCTTTTAGTGCTAAAGTTTCTCTTTAATTCTATAGATAGATGTAATTTCTTATTCAGTTACAAAGTTCCATTGTTCAAGTCTGTAATTGACATGTCCATAATTCCCATTAAATTGCAAATTTAAAAAGTTTTAGATTCAGCAATCTCTCTGTCACCTTCTCTTCACTATTAGTAGCAATATTTTCTAGATTTAGAACCATATTACAGATTTTGCCATCCATTAGTTGATTGATAACTGGGGCATTGTCACTGCAATGAAAAACTTCTGTTATATCATTTTCTTTATTACTTCTCTACATTTCTTCAAAAATTCCACTAATGGGAAAAATTGCATCTTTTGTTTGCAATACTTTAACACTTTCAACTTTATGGCAATCGTCATAAGCCTTACCCAGCATTCGCTATACACTACTGGGGCTGTATCATGAGATTTGTGACTGAGACGTGTTGTTCTGCTAAATTTTGTCTTGCTTCTGTTGCCCCACTGGATGAAGATAAGCCTGAGTATATGAGTTATTTATTACACTTATTTCTCAAACATGCCTAAAGTTTAGCTTATTCCCAAACAAATAAATTCACACATACACTTAAGACTTATCCAGGGCCAGCGCTGGACATTTTGTGGCCAGGCGCAGTATTTGTAGGTCCAAAATTCAACTACCAAGCACCTCCCTGAAACCTAAAAATTTTGTCACCCCTAACTTTTGTGTCCCAGTGCTCTCCCTAGATATTAAAGATTTTATCATCCCTTAATTTTGCTTCTCAGTTCTTTTTCTGTATTCTATTCTGAAAATTTTGCTTTACCTAAATTTTGCTGCCTAGTGAAGCATCAGCACTAGCACTGGTCTTGGGCTCACCTGAATAACAAATCAGTTATTCTCATTTCAAAGAGCCCTAAATAAAATTATTTGGCCTACGAATATTATTTACAAAATTCATTTTTTGCATATGGAGAGAAGAATATAAAGTTACCATGCTTCAATTACTAATATTTAAAGAGGAAAAAACTGTTTATTTATTGCTGCATGAGACATTTATCAAGCTGCAGTGTGTTGATAGTTATGCAGTAATGAAAGAAAAAAATTATTCAATAATGATTCACCAGGTTGGTGTCAGTGCTGAAGTGAAATTAAAAACAGAAACTCTTAATATATTTTATTAAGGAGGAAAAAAAATAAAATGTGCAAGCGTAAAATAAAATCATTTAAAAAAGGCTGCTGGTGATCTAGTGTCTGAATTTTAAATCATTTCAGATACTGGATGTCTGAATTTCAGACTTTGCACTGTATTAAGCAGTAGTGCAAAATGCCTACAAAAAACATTCCTGTATCTCCTAGTGTATTTTCATTTTGTGGGATTATAGGAGTACAAAACTTTATTTTATTTATTTATTAGTCCAAAGGGGCTTTGTCCCTGAAGGACTATTGGTTTCGTTTTGCATTGAAAACTTTTAAAGGCTGTGTCACTTTTCAAATCCTTGCCACCAAATACTATCGCCCTGTATTATATTTGAAGAAATTAAATAATGAAGAATGTGCATAAATGTATGTATGTTTCTTTTATTGTGATAAAACAACAGTTCCTAGAGCCATCAAATTTTGAATGACGTAATTCTACTGCGAATATGGGCATCTGAAAACCCAAATTTGAAATTTGGAATTTGTTTTATTATTAATTTCATATTTTGTAAAATTTTAACAAATTTTTTTATTTACAAACTCAATGATTTAAAAGCAAACAATGGCAGCACTCTATGGGGGGGGATCTTTTTATCTCCAGCGTGCGGAACTGTGTATAAGAAATTTTAAAGATATGCGCATTTTAAAATTATTTTGCGATAATGCTGTTGAGCTGAATCTTATGGTTTAAGTGCAAAGAACGTAATTTAAAATTTGAAACCTTTCAGATTTATTATTATTATTATTTTGGTTGATTTTGATTAAAATAGGCAAACAAATGATCATATTACAGAAATAAATTAGAAAAAGTTCAATTATTTCACATCCTGTCCCCAATTTTATTATGCCAAAGGAGTCAAAAATTCCAGAACAGGAATTTTAATAGTCTAAACATCAAATATTACAAACACCAATTTTCACCAAAATAATTAGAGAAAATAGCTTTTCCAAATAAAATTTCTCCATTTTCCCAACGAGAAGGAGTTTGGAAAAAAAAAGAGAAAAAAAAAAAAACCACTATTGTAAACTGTAAAAAAAAAAAAAAAATATGTCAGAAGAAAGCATCTTCAAAGGAAATTTCAGGAAGTCTATACAAGTACAAGTATAGGTAAAAGTGGGGGAACACCAGAATTCCACCATTGGTCATACAGGTATACTCTTGCCACACTAACTGTGCAGTTCCATCCCAGTTTTGAGGCAGAATACCACAAAAGGTACTATGAGGGTTTCCCACTTCTCTTTCACTACTGCCAACCTCTCAAGAGAACTTTGGCTTGCCATGTATTTTGAGTGCCCATCTGCCATACAGACACCATACGTTTACAAACATCCATATCTTCTCCGGGATTCAGACTCAGGCCTAGGTATGCAGTGTCACTAATCATTATTTTGGTTGGGCAGCTAGGAAGTCTACATATCAGACAAAAATTTTATGAGTTTGATGTGGCAGACTCAGGTGGGAAATTTGTATTGCTAAATAACAGCATGATCTGGCATTGTGAAATTTCTTGCATGCATTTTTATAAGACATTAACTTATTTTGAAAACGTCTCTTTAACCTTTATCACAATAGTCTTGTTTTAAAAATAATCCTAAATTTCCCAACAGCTTATGGAGCACTGCCAAAAGAAAGAGTTTCACCAAGTCTCCCCTTTTTTGTAACTGACATTCATTTATGTGGACCCTTTTTGTTTAGGCCATATTTTCAAAACAAGATGGCAACCACAAGTAGATGCATATTAACTTATCTGAGTTATTTTATACCGTGGGTGTAGAAAAATGATCGTCTGTTGCCTTGGTGATCTTTAGTTTTCAGTGTTCTTTTATTATTCAATAAATTTATTTTCATGAATACAGTCTGCTTGGAATGTTACTTATTTACGTACGTTCTACATTATTTACTTTTATATAAAATATAAAAACCAACGAAGAGGTACCTTAAATAAAATATATATGCTTGGTGTTTTTGTGTGCTTAGTTACTCGATACATCTCGATTTTGTTATAGATCTAACATCCCAGGCTGTAATTGCTACATTAAAAATATTTTTCATGTGGTGTGGCCTTTTAGCTGAAGTCGGAGAGTGTTACCAACTTTGTCAGAGCTAATTCCGCCATAATAATGCTGTTAAACTTTTTCAAATGTTCACAGAGTTTTTCATCATATTGAACTGCTTCTGAATCAACTGTTTGGAAATTTGATCCACCTTGGTGGTATTTATGAGGCCACAGTAAAATACTTTACATATAATTTAAAATGAAGTATCGAAAACACAAAATTAATTCTCGAAGAATTTTGACTGTCATAAATCAAATTGAAAATATACAAGTATTAAATAGTAGACCTTTGTTACTTTTATCTTCAGATTCCAATTACTTTAAATTGATCCCTGGTCATTTTTTAATCAGAAGACCACTTAATGCTCTGCCTAAACCTTGCATTTCAAAAATTCTCAATAATAAGACTTTCCCACTGGAAGAAAATTGTCAAAATTAACCAAATAATATGGAAAAAATGGTCCAGAGATTATCTAAATAACTTTCAGCAGAGAAGTAAATGGTTCTTTTAAAAGGACAATATAAAAATAGGTACTTTTGTATTAGTAAAGAGGATAAATTACCTCTATGCACTTCGATAGTAAGCCATACCTATTACACCATTCAGGAAAGCGATAGTAAAATCCCCACTGTTTTTATCAAACCCCTCAAGGACTGATAAAACATGGAATATCTAGCACAAGTATTCTGCATACAAATGACCGAAGTAGTGAAATTGTATTATAATTCCTTGTATTAATATTTCATGTTTCTTCGGCTGTAAAATTCAGTTTGTTTGTTTGTTTGCTTATTGAATTGATAAATCCATTTAATTGTTTAGAACTGACATGTATCTAACTTACCTCAAATTGTATATATTAGTTTTGAATTAGTATTTCAATGTCAGGTGGGATGTTGGCACATGATAGTCCTGCCAAACGAAAACCTTTTCTTTCACTGTCATTGTCTAGTAATGAATCCTGTAATGCAGATGCATAAATATAATTTTCCATCTTGATACTAATATTTTGATAGATTGGTGTATGTTTTGCTTTCGAATGACTTCTAACTGAGCAGTTAGATTATGAATAAATGAAAGACGAATTTCAAAGGAAATTAGTTTTGTTATTTTGTAGTTACAGTACACAACAGAATCTATTAAGTTGCCCATGCTCCTGTATGGTAGACAGTGCCACAAATGGAGCAAATGGTCAGGGAATTGGAGTGCATTTGTACACAGCTGAATTTGCCTGCTCAACATGTCCCACACATGTTTGATAGGCAACAGGTCTGGAGATCTGGCAAGTCAGTCAAGGACATTAATATGTTGAAGACATTGTTGGGAAAGATATGCTGTATGCATCTGAGTGTTGCCTTGCAGAAAAACAGAACCTGGAAAACCTACTAGCATAGCCAGTATGATCAGCTGCAAAATGGACCAGCGAGCAGTCAATGTACCAGTGAGCAGTCAATATACCTCCCGGTATGAAGACAAATGGTAAATGGCTGTCCCAGTTGATTGCTCCCCAGACTGTCACAATATGTGCTCTGTCTGTGTGCTACTGAGTAACAAGTGGTACCCTGGACTTCTCATCTATCTGTCTCCAGACATGTATGCCACAGTCATCAGCACAGAGAGAAAAATGTGTGATTCGTTGCTTAAGATCGCATTCCTCCAATTGAACACTGCCCAATATGAGCGAAAGCAGCACCATGAAAGATGACACACAGCTTATGGTGGAGAGTCAGTGGCAAGCGTCTTAATGGCACCAAGATCTGAGTCTAGCATTGACTAGTCTCCTGCGAATCAGCCCTGGATACCCTGAGCTCCCTGTAAGTTGGAAAATGACAATGACTCGATGATATTCTATCTGTTTATGCGGCCATGGTAGTTCTTCTATTTGTGGGATCATCTCATGCATTAGTGGCTCAGAGATGTCCCGAGCCACTACAATGGCTGACTATGCCTTCACTGAGCCACTGGTTCCAAAAACTGACAACAACCATATTGCTTCAACCAATATGCTGGCCGATCTGCCTGTTCAACCAACTTGCCTCTTTTAGCCCTATGGTGTGACCCCTCTCAAAGTCTGACAATATTTTGTTATGCTGTCAAGTATGTTTTAAAGGCATCTTTCATTGTCATTGTGGTGGTTTTAAATCGGCGTGGTTTTAAATGCTTGTCACTCGCCATACCTATCCTTTTACATTCTAGAAACATCGCACTTCAGATGTGCGCTGTATTGCTTCCCAGTGCTGACTAGTGCTGCAGTTTAATCTTTTATACTTTACACAACTCGCCAAATCACATTTGTATGCCACATTTCATAGCCACGACACGATTTTTTCTGGATGTATATATTTTTTTTGCAACAGAGTGTGTGTGTGTGTGTGTAGATATATATACATACATGTAGTGAGAGAGAGATAAAATTATTACTTCCTATTTTCTTTCCAGTCTGCTAATTCCAATTCCAAATTTCCTGTTGACTGCAAGGTATACATTTCAGGAACCATACCACCAAGTGTATGAAGATGACCACAAAGGTAAGGACCTCTTGATCTACAAAAATGTTGCACAATGCAATATAAAGTAAAATTACAGACATGCAAAAATAAAATATAACATGTTTAAAATAAGAAATATATAACATAGATTTTACCTCCTAGCAAAAATATGTCATGCATCATCAAATACAGAAAAGATACAATTTTTCTATATCAGATATTCTTTGTTCCACGAAATTTATTACCAAGTTGATATAAATTGAGTTACACACATTTATTAACTTAAACACATTTTGATGTGTATGTCAAAGTAAAATGCTAATTAACTTTACCACATTTACATTATTTGCAAAACAGTTTTAAAATATATTGATGTAATAATTATCTGCTTAATTCTGGTAATATGGTAGGTACAAATGATATGGTCATATGGTAGAGAGCAAAAGTCATGAGATATGGAGACTTTGAAGGTCAGCAGGACAACATGCAGTCATCTAGCATATTTCAATCAATCCAATGCTGAAGCACAGTTACAACCAAATACAGTTAAAATGCCCCAACATATTTATTTATTTATTATTATTTTTATGAGCTGTTACTAGGTCCAGATTTTGGCATGAATTACGAATCAAAATTTGAGATACGTCATAGCTGGTTGGCAAGCGCAAAACTAGCAAATATGAATCATGAACCAGATTTGCGAGTTCTGCACACGAATTCACTCCGTTGTCAGGCAAGGTGATGCAGCAAACTCTGATTGTAAGGCAGCAGAGGAATTTGTAAAAATCTCTGCTGAGTTAATCGAAGCAAAAAGATACATTCTCTAATAAGTGTTGAACTGTGATGAGACAGGGCTCTTCTCGAAGAAGATGCCGAGCAAAACGAATATATCAATAGAAGAACATGCCATGTCACAAGCCCATGAAAAATAGGTTGACTCTTGCACTGTGTGCAAATGCATGTGCAACTGCAAAGTCAAGCTACTGTTTGTATACTATTCAGATAAACCCACAGGCTTTATGATGCACAAAGTTTTTAATAAAAAGGCAAAAAAGAAAAGAACTACTAATTACTAAGAACTACTAAGATAATAAAAATTATGCGAAAAGGAGGGGAAGGAAAATTTTGTTTCCCCTCACTTTTATTACTGTTTCTTTTATTATTTTTTTCAGATTTTTATTACTATTTCTCACTTTCATTACTGTTTCTTTTATTACTTTTTCTTACTTTTGTTACTGTTTCTCCCTTTTATTACTGTTTCTATTACTTTTATTGTTTATTTCATTAAATTATCTTTTATTATTATTTAAAAAATATTAAATCAGGTTTTATTTTGTTTATATACTCTATTTGTTCATTATATTTTTCTTATGTTCAAAACATTTAAAAAAAACATCCGGAATGATTTTTGGGGAGCTGGCAAATCACATTTCAATGTGAACAACAAAACTAGCATATTCTATTATTTTAACTCATGACAACTTATTACAACTTTTAACCAGAAATATATCATGTCATCAATGTGATATAGGAAGTGTTTTGACTGTTCTATATTTTCATTACACTTTTAAAATAGCACATAACTTTCAGGGCTATTTAAGATGCACATTTGTTTTAATAATTCCAAGTACTTGTGAGTAGAATTTTTAAAACAGTAGTAGTTTGAAAGCTAACAATTAAGAATTTGAACACAAAGGGTAACATAGCTGCTTTTTTTTTTTTTTTTTTTTTTTTTTTTTTAATGAATGGAGTTTTCTGGGAGGATTTTGCACAATGTGGTAATGCCATTTCAATGAGAATTTTAACTTAAGAGCTCAATAATGGAATGAATGAAACTCATACCTCAAGGTACCGCTGTAACATACTGAACATGCTGCTAACAGGAAAATAATCTTTTTTTTCCCTTTATTAGGTAATACATGACACATTTTTAAAAATAAAAAAACTGATTTCAAGTAACTAATTTCTTTTTCCTTAAACACCCTGTATATAACATAAAATTCACAACTTACAATATGAAAATAATAGAGTAAATAGGGAACCAAAAAAATTTTAATAAAGTACTTTAATTTTTCACTTCAAAATAAATAAATTTTGAAATTTTGAAAATTGTGAAATTTTGTAGTTACATAAAGAAAATTGTGAAAATACATAGTTACAGAACTTTGTTAAGATGATTTAATTTTTTGTCAAAGCATGCATATATTTTTGGGGGTGTATGCATGTGATAAAACTTCCACTTAACATTAAAAAATGAAAGCTTACTCTTTTTCCTTTACCTCCATACCTGCTTAAATATTCTAAGTGTTTCTCAATGCAACAGCTAATTAATTGTGCCATTTCACATTTCTGATAATTGTTGGAAAATTCCAAAATAGTTTTTTTTCACAGTAAAGAAATAATAATAAAAAAAAAGGCATGAAACTTAATAAAAGTGGCTTTCAAACATGATCAAGTTAAGCAGATCAATCCAATCATGCACATGCAAACAATATACAACAAATCAATTTCCATTTGTAATAACACTTTAAAACGGGAAATCCAATAATTTTTTTTATAAATTTCTAGGCAATAAATTTGATTATATTTTCAATAGAATTTAAACTTTAAGATAAATAAACAAACCTCATGAGTTCCCTAACACCTGGATTGGGAGCCACAATAGTGGAAGTTGGGTAATGTCCAAACCAAATAGTCATATTTCCTTTTGCTTCACTTGCTAGCTTCTGTATATGTGCATATTCATCCTACATATAAATATTTAAAAATAAGTTTATATATATAATTCTTTAGTAACTTGAAAAAGTAATGATGCATGTATATAACTACATAATCTTCAGCATAAAAAAATAACAAAAAGATTTAGAGTAACTCTTCAATAACAGAAGAAAAGTAACACTTCACAACAAATGACTTCTAGCACAGATCAGCTTTTTAACTAATTTTTACAAGTGATTAAAAAAAAAGAAGAGAGAAAGAATGGTAACAGTCATCTTAAAAATTTTTATTATTTCTGCCAGATCTGAATTCAAAAATATATCCACCATTCATACAAATTCATGTAATAAAACACTGATCAGCTTTTTGAATTTTTGCACAGTTTTCTGTAGGATAATTACCTTTTTCCCTTAAAAGGAAGTATAATTCAACTTAATGTAATTTTTGTTAATACTGTTACAAAATACCCAGCCATGGTAAGATAGCTTTCCTGCAAGACAGGTTTAGGATTGCCAGAAAATGGCATGGGAAGGCAGGGTTGCCATAATTGGTGCAAAATCATCCATTAGGCGACAAAACTGGCACTATGCCATAGATAGATCAGGGTTCGTACACATTTCTGGATACGGGAATTAAGTACTTTTAAGGATTTTTAAGGACCATTAATGAAAAAAATTAAGGACCTATGAGCAAACAGCAAATTAATAAATTCAATTAAAAATATTTTCTATGTCTGAACTTATCTTTTGTAATACAGTACAAAGTCTTTAATCTGGACGTCCATAATCCGGAATGATCTATAAACCACACCACAAAGGTACAAACTTTCTCTGTATGCACATAATACCTTTACACATAATACGTTTACGCATGCATGTTTAATGTGTAACGGACGGTATAAGCTAGGCTAAAATTATCTAATTATCTATTTCATTTAATGTTGCAGATTGCGTTGTTCCTTAATCTTCTAATTGGATCTGGCTTATTATTTTTTGCAGACTGTTAGAGCAATTTTATAAAAATTAAGCTTGAACTTTCGATTATGTCAAAAAGAGTTTCCAATTCTGCAGCTGCCATAGGGTACAAAGTGAAAGCATGTTTCAATGTCAATCAAACAAAAAGTGGAATTGCTGCAAAAAATGGATAAAGGTGTGACATAAGAAAGTGCCAGAGAGGTTAGTGAAAACAAAAAAAAATTTCAATTGACAAGTTAGTCGGTATTCTCGGCACAGCAATTACAGGACTTGAACAGCGGAACTTTGTAACTGAACAAGAAATTATGTCTGTTTATAGAATTAAAGAGAAAGTATTAGCACATAAACGAAGCAACTTAAACAATTCACATTGAAAGAAATGTTTAATAAAGTAAACAAATAAATATTAAGCGTTTTTTTGTAAATTTTGATACCCTTTAGATCATAATTGCTCTTTATTTCATAATTTAATTTTATAATTTCTGCATGCCATCTTACCAGACTTAAATTGATGATCTATAATCCGGAAAAACCCTTAATTCGGAATCGTCGAAGTTCTGACGAGTCCGGATTTGTACTGTACCATCCAAAAAATAAAATAGAACGTAAGTAGGATGCATTATTATTAAACATAACTTAATTAACATAATTATTAATAAGTTTGAGAATGAAATATACTGTACGAAATTTATCAAATAGCATTAAATATTTTACACTTATAATAGTTCAGCATATTTGAAAGAAGATAAGTGGCATTTTATTTACATTTTACTAATAGTTAGCTTCATGTTGATTTTTTTTATGTCTCATTTTGTCACATGCTTGCTCAATCTAGAGGTTTAGTAAATAGGAGGTAGATTTTATATCAAGCGGCATAGGTTAAAATGAGAAGTAAAATTATAATCAGAATGATTTATAACAAAAGACTGACTGTTGTCGCCGCTGCTCCTTGCCTAGAGAGAGACCTGCTGATTAGAACAAAATTGAAAGGCCTGATGTGGGCACAGTTGGCAAGTTAGTTGGGCTCTGTCTGATGCAGTTAGTGTCTTAACTTCATGTAGAGTCCCAGTTAAGGTTCCAATAAGCCACTAAAGCACCAGAGCTGATAACAAGTTGCTTTGTATTGTAGAGATATTAGGTATTTTTTTGGAAGCAGAAGAGATGAAAAATTAGCAACGCTTTCGTCGGGAATCAAACCACAGACCTCTGGAATACCAGCCTAGCATGCAGAACCACTACACCACAAAGGCACGCTAGGAAGGCAGGAGAAATACCTTATATACTCCCTCTTTTAAAGGACGACTGTGGTTTTTAGGGGATCCAACCACCAAATCCTGGGTGTAGAGAATCCTCCTACAACACCCTTCTTTAGTTCTGACGCCACTGTAGAGACATTAGGTATTTTTTTGGAAGCAGAAGAGATGAAAAATTAACAACGCCTTCACCGGGAATCGAAACACAGACCTCTGGAATACCGGCCCAGCGTGCAGAACCACTACACCACAAAGGCACGCTAGAAAGGTGGGAGAAATACCTTATAGTACTATTTTAGGTCTCACTAGATACAAAGAATAAATTTTACATGAATTTTTTACATTTTTGTGTTTTATCTTGTACCACAGTAAGGATTAATGAAAGGTAATAACTTGCTTTTATATTCATAGATAATTTTAAGGGTAAGCAGTTAGTTATAAATAATTAAATTAGGTAGTTAGATAACCTTAGTTATTATGGATTTACATGACCACTATTAAATTCTACATATTTTTTAATAATATTTGTTAAAAAGCCCAATTAAAATCACAATCTCATAAAATTTACAGATAAAATACATACAATTCATGTCATTGATTCTTAAACGATATTAGGATAATTACACATCAAAAGCTACAGAACATTTATGTTTTGTAACAACAACACTCAATAAAATATTTATGCGTCTTTTTAATTTTAAGCCTGCCCAGACATTTTGGCTAATTTATATCGATTTCCTTCTCTTTAAGCACCTTTTCTAATAATTAGTAATTTCTCTCAATATGCAAACCAATGTTCTCACTAGTTTCTGCGTGCTTTATCTCCTAACTTGTCAACCTCTCCACAATGTACCTATGAGGGTTTTTGATCTGGTAAAAGTTAAATAGTCCAAACCCCTTGACAGCATATTATCGATATGTCTGAAAGTGGAGCATATTATCGCTATGTCTGAAAGTAACTGCAATATCAGACAAAAGTTTAAATAAGCCTCTTATTTAAAAAGAACTTAAAACATAAAGGCATCTGTGAGCTGTAATTGATGCTAACAAAATCAGTTACAGTTCACGGTGACGTAATTAAACAAGAACAGTCAAATTCAAACTAAAAATGTCGACTAGTGGTCAAAGATTATACAATTTAGTTTTAATTTAACTCTCTAAGCGGCAAGGCCGTATATATACCGCCCAGAATATTTTTTGTGATATCTGTAAGAATGTACATATACGTGCATATTAAAATATGTCAAAGAAATTGAGGTAATATATCAAAAGTACACAAATCCAGGTATGTAATACCAGGAGAATTTTTACATTAAAATCAAAAACATAATTTGTTCTCATAGTAGTTTTGGGAGATTTGAAATTATAGTAAAGGCTGAAATTATAAATAATTGGGAAATTTATATAATAATAACTGCACATATCTTTGAAGAATAATTTTCTTTATGGGTTTAGTTTCTTTCTTCAACACGTTTCCTTTTCATTTTAGAATTTTTGGATTTAATTAAGGATTTCTGTTATTCTAAAAAACACTAAATGCATTTAGAATGTATAGAAAAAGCAACTCATTTTATTTCTCTAGTAATAAGAATATTCAGAAGAAATATGAAATATATATGGTAAAGGCCAGTTAGAGCTGATGTGGCAGAATTTTTAGAATTGAATGACACACCGAACAACAAAATCTATAAATGGCAAAACTTTTAGAATTTAGAGCTGGCATTGGATGCATTTAGAAAGGCACTAGGCAACAGAATTTAGGATTCACAGAGATTGCATCAAGTGGGAAAATGCCTAGTGCCAGCTATGAGTATTGTGCATTAAGACATATTACATTAATCTTTTAAATTGTAAGTTTTCAATTTCTTTATTAATAAAAAAATCCATTTCTATAATGCCTGCCAATGTGATAAGGTTACAAGCATTTTTGATATTTTCCATGCTTGTGTCTAGTGAAACATAGAGAAAATAAAGGGAAGATAAACATGTTAAGATTCTAGTATCAGAAGTAAAACATTCAAATATTATGTTTTCATTGTTCTTCCAGACGTTCTCATAAAAATGAAGAAATTCATTGCAAACTTTCTGTAAAATACATCAATTATGTGTTGATACCATGGAGAGATTTTTCATTTTGTCACATATTTCTCGAATCTTCTAGAATCGTGGGTCTATAAATCTTGTCTTCAAATCTTTCTAAACTTTCCAAGCTGCAATTTCTCGAATCACTAGACACAAGCATGGAAAACATCAAAAATGCTAAAATTCTAAAAAAAATAATCCCTACTAATTGTGTAATAGCAAAAGGCCAGAAATAGTTTGGAAAAAAAAAAGGGAGGGAAAAAGTGTAAAATTAATTTTATAGATAAAAACTGATGCATATTCTAAGAATTATAAATACTACAAGACAATTACATAGAAAAAACTCTTACTATGAAAAAATTAAAAAGACATTTTTAATTAATTACATAGCTAATTTTGCTTTTGCTAAGAGCTGTTTTGTAAATAATTATACCTTGTTTATTTTTGAGATTCAAAATATTGTATAAGTTGCCAAAATGAAACTTTATAATATGACATCGGAAAAATAAAAATGTTTTTTTAATTATTTTTTAAATATAATTTCAATATATTGCCATCATTTTAATAAAATTTCTCAACGTTGCGATGTTTTAAAAAAAAACGTCGAAAAATTCTCAGATCTCGGAATTAAAAATTTTCTATAGAAGCTGATCTTAAAATCACCAAAATGTTGATAAGTCGCCAAATTTAGAACCATTTACATCCCAAAAAGCGAAAAATTGTTTAAAGCCTTTTTATTAGAAAAAAAAAAAAAAAAAACGAATTTTGCTATGCTTATGTTTCACTTCTTACTTAGAACCTCAACTATCCCATCACTCTTATATTAGAAACAGAAACAAATTATAACCCATGAACCCATTCAAAAGATACGTCAGTGAATCGTCAAAAATATTCCTCCAAAATGCTAATTCACACTCAAAATGGCAGTCGTAAAAACAGACAGAAATTTCAGATGATTAAGGACCATCTGCTGATTTTGGCCAAAATTATGGACTTTTAAGAACCAAAAACCGATTCCAAAAAATCTAAGGACTTTTAAGGACTGTACGAACCCTGATTAAGTATGAATTTTCTAAGATATGTTGTCACAACTTAATTTCTTAACAGCTGGAAAATTGAGCTTTGAGAGAAAATACAAAATTTTTTTTCTCTCCTTTTCATAATCCTGTAAATAGCATACTACAGCATAATAGCATTATTAAATATTATTCTGTACAAAATTTATTATTATAAGTTTAGTAAATATATTATATTATCATTTAAAGATACAAGAAAAAGTACAAGATAAGCATCAAAAGCAGGTTGCATGATACCTTTTGAATAACTCCCAGAAAATTAAAAGGTCGCTTTGGTCCAGGATTCATACATGCATCAATTCCAATAAAATCATAGACTTCAGTGTCATGATGCAGTGTATAACTGTATGATCTTCTATACTTATTACCTTGGGCAGAGAATTTCCTAAAAACATTCCAGAAATTAAAATGTCCATAATACTTGCACTCATATATTTTCTTTAATTCTGTATTACCACAATGCATTTAGAACACAAACATTTCATCATGTACTCAGTCCATGGACATTTTGATAAATCCATTGATCATTTATCCAAAATTTAGTATATTTCACATGCTTCACAAGTCAAATTTGTACAGGTACATACTACTATATTTCTGTCTTTATTGTACCTATAACTTACAGGCATTATCCATCGTGCAAAGCCATTTCTAATTATAAGTGTTTTTAAAAGCAATGCTCTCCCTCCTTTTTTTATGACACGTCACGCATGTGATGTTGAGTAAATAACCAAAACTCTTGACATTTCCACTAACAAACTCTGCAAATAACTTATATTCAAAACACATAATAAAATCAAGAAGCCAATGACAGAGAAGGAAATTTCAACGTTTAAATATTTGTGCTACAGACAACACACACCCAATATTCTGCCTTTGGCAAATAGGTGGTGCCCTTGCTGCAAGCTGAGAAAAATATAAAAATATTTTGATGCTTGAAATTTGTAGAATGAGCAAAAGTAAAATATTTGATAAGATTTTCATGGCCACTACTGTATGTGGAAATTAAATAAAACATGTTGAATTTTGTTAATAAAATGTTGTTTTGCGCAGTTAATTATCTTGGACTCTAATTGACATTAATGATCATTCCCATGAATTCAAGTGTTCTATGAATTTTAACTAATGATAAAAACTGTCCCAATCAGAACATAAAAATGTATTAAATCATCATATCACATTTTCTCACAACAATTTTCATGAGAAAGATATGTGTACTAATTTAATACTTCCAGGAAGAAAATATACTTTTGTCATCAGCTCATTTCGACTGAGGCAAATTTTTTCTAAACCTAAATATATCTTTCAGGTTAATTACTTCAATAAACAAAGAATGAAACAGAATGAAATGCTCTAAAAACTTTTTATTGACAATACTTACTTTGAAAATAAGAACACATTTGTAACAGATTAAAACAGCACATTTTACTAAAGGGTAGTCAAAAGGCAATGTTGCCATATATAATTTTTCTGTAGAAAATAGGGTTGATGCATCTATCCTTAACAGAAAAGATCCCAATAATATTATAACTACTGCCAATAAGTGATATTATTACAGTCGATGTTCCTTAAGCTTCTAACAAATGTAAATACAGCAAACAGTCATTTGAAGAAAGTGATTTTCAAATACAAAGTATTTTAATATTGTTTACAAGACCACTATTATTCTTAAGAGTAACAAAAATGGAACTTTCCTATGTATCCTTTAACATGAAAATATTTGAGAATAATGCACAACAGACAACCCACTGAACAGTGAATACCAGAGTCATATATATAATTTTATATCCATCTAAAAATTAAATTAAAAACATTATTACTATTAAAACAATAACATTATACATTACTATGCATTTCTATCTCTTTCACTAAAATAGGAATGAAAGACTCGCTAAAAACAGAAAAACAGTGTGCATATATGAACCGTTCAAAACCTAGACCTGGATAATAAAATAAAAGAGGACCAAATCATCTCGTCTTGGCCTATTCAACACCACTGTGAATGTGTGTGATAGTATAAAGGGAAATCTTGAGCACAGCAAAATGAATACATATTATATTCAAATATAATGGACCATGAAAAACATTTAACTCCCCTTTCAATGAAAAAGATCACAGGCCAGGTTTTCTTATTGCCATTTCTTAACATACATTTCCTGAAATTTTACTCCTGAAAACAAGATGGCATTTAATTTTATATTATGCATAATGTGAGTTTCCTTACATTAGAAATTAGATAAATTAAATAAGTTTTGATTTATCTATTAGCATATGGAGAATAGAAGCATAAACATTTTTAAAAAAAGACCCTTTTTCAAAGGAAAAATAATAATACTTTCACATAATCTTTATTTACTATTTGATTAAATTTACAAAGAGATACATGTACATTAAACATAAAAAAATTAGCATCTGGTGGATGGCATGTACTGCAATAAAAGCTCATACTGTTCATAGCACTAAATCAAACAGGTTATGAACAAGTGCCTGAGGAATAACACTCCATATAGCTTATTTTAGCCCCAAATTGATTTGTATTAGCTATGAGATAAGTGGAGTGGACTATTTTGTGGGAGTGAATCGCATCCCACAAAAACTCATACATATAAATAGACAACATGTATGATAAATGGGCAGGCCAAGGAAGGAGCAGTATCTAAAATGCTGAGAAGTCTTGAACATTTCTAGCAGTTCATAGACAAATATTGTCCTCTTAAAATACACCTAAAGGAATGCACTAAATGAAAGGAATGACTTCTGGCTCCATAACCTTTCAAAGGAAGGGGTTGCTGGTGACAGTACCTTCAATTCTTAAGATAGGAGATCACCTACCACACCCAATGGCACCCTGGCCATCACACTTTGCAAACCCTCACCATGGCATAAAATATTGCACTTTAGAAAATGGCATTCAACCCTATAACATCTAATGCATATTTGACCATTGTCATTCTCCACATCGAAGTGGGATTCATTGGAAAAGCTAATCTGATGCCAATTAGAGTGCTAGTGGCTGTACTGATGAGCCCACTGTCACCACAGACATCAATGATTTAGCATCAAGAGGACCCTGCATAGAGGAAAGCATGCATGTCATCTATAGTGTGGCATTTGCTGGTGAACTATTGATGATGAGACTAGCACACGTGCCGCAATGCTCCAATCTTGCATCAACTGCTGAGATGAAGGCACTGTCATAAGGATGAGGCATCAGTCATTCCAAAATAACAATAACCTTTCATAATCTAATGCCAGTTTTGTGATTTGTCCCTCTTGTTCTCTTCATCCCAGAGATATTTTTAACACCACTAAGAGCATATTTCACGCATTGAAAATCAGAAATACACTTTAAAAAACTAGCTAGACGTATTTTCATGCATTTAATTTTTAACAAAGGTTTAGCTTAAATGCATAGCTCCCCACCGAAATCAACAAATAATATTTTTTTCTACTCAAAACACCACCAAGACATTTTCACCCGACTTCTCCACAACAAAGAATATAGGCGTGGCACTGCGTGGTGCCGTGCTGACTCAGCGATCATGGCCAGAGGGCAGAAGAAAGAAGCTGACTAATGAAATTGAAGTTTCATTGTATATTTATGAGCTCTGATTTCATCACACATTCCATATTATTGGATGGCCATTAGAATAGTAGAATAGGTTATCGACACACAAATTGGTTTGGCTCGGTGAAATTTCACATTATGAGCTGGAAAAATCTTTTCCACTCTTTTCAGGAAATTAAAGGCAAAGTAAAAGCATACATAAAGGTCATTAATTTTTTAAAAATTTTTCTAGCATGATTTTTATTATGCCTTCAAATTATTTTTATGCTTATAGTGTTAGCATTTTTAATTTTTTCATTATTCTGCACTAGTCAGGAAAAAAGTACAAAAATAAAATTTTAATTCCAATCTTCTTTTTAAAAAATCATGATCTTCACTAGTCTTACAGCGTAAATCTGGGTGTTTTATTGCTATCTTTTTGTTAAAAAAACAACAATTTCATCACGTTTTTCAGTGCAAAAATTGGAATCGCATCGATTCTTGGCAACTGTGATAAATAGACATCTCCTTGCGATCTTCTAGTGGCCAAATCAGGACTTAACCTGGTTATATGAAATTAATTCGTCTAAGAGTCACCCCATGCAAAAATCGATATTTAGCTGACATCTATCAATTCAAAAATCAGTATTTTGCATAAATTTTGAGATTTTTACCGATTTGGGGGCAAAAATAAGTACTTTTTCGGATTGTGCAAACCCTGCTGTAAATACTCTTGTTTTTTTGAAATATTCTGTAGGAGACAAGTATAATATTTGTTATTATTATTGTTTTAATTTAATGGCGTGAGATCACCAAACTCATTACTAATTTTAACTAAATGTCGCTCTTAAAACGATTGTAATTTGTATTCGCACTTATAAAATAAATTCCTTTCATATAAAAATTAATATTTTAAGCGAAATTAAGATTGCATATGAAGAAAATTTTAATTTAAGAAATTCCATACAGTCTGCAAAATGAAACGATTCTACAAATGATCAGCTTTTAGGAGAAGCAAATCAAAAATATTTTTTTTTCTAACTAACTAATTTTTTAAAACTATTTAATTCAATAGGATGGTCCCCTTGAGACCAAAGCAATTATTCCAGGAGAAAAATTAATTTAAATATGAGTTCTAAATCCATCAAGGCGATTTTTATAAAAAAGCCGTCAAGCCAAGTGTGAACCACCTCAGAACCATCAGCTAAGAAACCAAAGATTGATGAACAACCAGAAGAAACTACTTCTAAACATGATAAGTTTTTAAGTAAGTGGCTTAAAGAATTTCCTTTGGTCCTCCTCGATAAAAAGGAAAATAAAATGTTTTGTAAAACATGTCAATCTGACAATACGAAGAATGGTGTGGGTGTGATGGGTTCATCATGTTCCAAAGAAGTACTCAGTCTCGCCACAAAAAAAACTACAGAACACAGGCTTTTTTTAGATGCCAAGAAAGATGCTAAAGCCCTTGAAAATATCATCGAAAAGAAAAAATCGACAGCAACAGATGGCGATTTGGCAGTGTTCAAAACTGTTTACACTATTGGAAAAAAAGAACTTCTTTTAACAAAATTTAAGCCTTTAATGATGCTTATGAAATCCTATGGAAATGAGACTGTGAAAGAGACTCACTTGAATTTATCTCAAAATTGAGTTACAGACATAACTAAAGCTATTTCGAAAGTATTAGAATCAAATTTTGATGAGGATGTTTCCCAAAACCCCTATATTTCTTTAATGATAGATGAGTCAACAGATATTTCAGTTGACTATAAATTAATTATATATGTGAAATATTTGAAAAAACAATGAAAGTCAGAACAGTCTTTGGGCAAATTTAAAACTATCGGGTCAATGCAATGCAGATGCACTGAAAGAAATAATAATAAAGTTTTTCACCGAAAAAAAAGTACCTTTGTTGGCCTTTCAACAGATGGTGCTGCTGTTATGATGGGAAAAAATAACGGACTTGGCAAAAATTTTCAGGATATGATACTTGGTTTGTTGCACTATCACTGCATAGCTCAAAAGCAAGCAATCCTATAGACAAGGGCTCAGGACTACTTAAACAATGCTCACAATTTTCATTTGCAGCCAGCCACCTTGTCATTTTTGAGAGATGTGTTACTGATTATGAACATAATCGGTAGAATTTTTCGGAGCAATGATGTGGACTTTTCCGTGTTGGTTAACAGTCTAGAATCAACTATTAATTGCATGCAGGAAATGAAAAAGGAAGAAGGTCATGGCACTCATCTAAAGGAATTTTTAGAGTCTGCTCTTAATAATGGGTATTATCGAGTTCAAGATATCCCTAGAGTTCAAGAGTCCCTAGATAATGTTATTAAACATTATTATAGGCCAGATTCTACTTCAGTTTTGGGTGTTGCAGAAGAGTTAAAGCATGAGCACCTTGAAGTAGAGTGTTTTTTATGCACACTACAGAGAATTCAAATTTAAACAGTTTGCCAATTTGTTATTTTCATCATGTTTAGATGGTGAACTCTTATATTCAGGATTTACAACCCTGGCACAAATAGCTATAACTATACCTTTGTCAACGGCTGTTTGTGAAAGAGGATTTTCTACTCAAAATAGGATCAAATCAAATAGGAGAAATAGACTGAGGGAGAAACAACTGGAAAGTCTAGCGAGAATATCTGAACAAGGCCCGGATTTCAAAGAACAAAGGGGAAATGTTTTTTATGATTTTAATTTTGAAAGAGCAGTAACCTTGTGGAAAAATCAGAGGAAAAGATTAGAATTGTAATGTAACCAAGGAAAAATGTTTTTTGTGACTTAAATTTTGAAAGAATTGTGATATTGTAAGGAAATTAGGGAAAAAAGAGATAAAAATTGTAATGTAACCAAGAATAAATGTTTTTGGTAACTTTAATTTTGAAAGAGTTTTGATATTGTAAGAAAATCAGCTGTAACATTGTGGAAAAATCAAAGGAAAAGGATATTAAAATTTTAATGTAACCAAGAATAAATGTTTTTGGTATCTTTAATTTTGAAAGAGTTTTAATATTGTAAGAAAATCAGCTGTAACACTGTGGAAAAATCAAAGGAAAAGGATATTAAATTTGTAATATTAAATAAATATTTCATTTAGAATGTTTAATGTAAAATAAATTCTTTTATTTATATGTTTAATATTTTCTACTAATACTTAATATATGCTATAATTGTCAAAAACCAAAATAGCATCCTCATTTTTTTCTATTTCATTTTGTCCATTAAAAAAGTTTTTTTTTTTTTTTTTTTTTTTTTTTTTTTAAATAGAAAATTTGTCTCTGTATATGTAGTTTATCCTATTTGCATATTTCACTCCTAAAAAAGTCAAGGAGTATTTTTACTCCTCCAAAAAAATCCTAGGAATAACACTGCTTCAGCCTACTGCATTTTTACATGCATTATAGGCAAAGATGCTTCATAAGCTACAATTTTATGACAAAAAATTATCCTTCTGCCAATTTGATCATTTACTACCATTCAAACAATGCAACTTATGTATACTGGGCTCTTTATCTTCAATGAGGCACAGTGACTACTGCTGGCAGACAACCAAACACTATTTTTAACATTCCATTACAGAATTCTATTTATACATCTAAAATAACAGATCTAATATAACTGCTTAGCCTATACATGCATTAACAATCAGATATTTAATCATTTGCATATCATACCCTGCTTTGTATTTCCAGTAAGTTTCAGTTTATTTGCTTGATTGATTCATGGTGCAGCAAATTTTACAAGTAGGAATGCATTTTCTGAATGGTACTTCTTGATTATCTGCACTCCTTACCAAAAAACTAAAGCTATTTCGAAAGTATTAGAAGTCATTGACTTTGGAAAGCATTTGTGAACTTGCTCACAAGTAATTTTTTGCCAAGTTAATGTGCAAAAGGCAACAATCCTTTCCAAAAATGCAGCTTGCTAAAAAATCCCATATAACAGCAATCAATTGATAAAATTAAAAGGCAACATGCATCAAAAATAAAACATACCTATGCACAAAAAAGAATGATTTTTTAAGATATCAGTCTTTTTTTGCTGTTCCTATCCCCTACACAGCAATCTATTTTCAATTGATAAACAAACTTGACTCCATAGAACTTCCACTCTGTGCACTGATCAAAACAGATATCTGCTATGCACATAACTGAGTTGCCACATAAATACTTTTTGGCCACTTCTTAAGCTGCCACATAACTATGTTTGTGACATGTTGCTTTATCTCATGAATACTTTTTCACAACTTTTAGCAAGGGTGCATATAATCAAAGAGTACCTTCTAAACTAATGACATTCTCATTCAGCAGTTAAAATATAATTTAATCACGTACTCAAATAAATTTACAAATTAAATAGCACATACCTAAAAAGATCATTTTTATCATCCAAAGACAGGACATTAAAATTATCTGAAAATAAAATTACATAAAAAATAATATTTATGGGATAATCAATAAAAAGTCAATTTCAAATTTTCAGGAAATGAGGAAAAGCACAATATGCAATGTATATTTTTATTTTATAAAAATTACACTCATTATATTTCAGAAATGGTAAATCCAAAAAATAACTAGCAAATCCTACCTCAATTACATAATGTTATAAATGTTTCAAAAAGTAAACTATAAAGAAATAAAGCAATATTCATACATTTTACAAATGGATTTGATAATGCATCATGTAAGCATATACTATGTGGATGTATAATTGCAGCTACATAAATTGCAGAATTTAAGAGAAGTATAATACTTTACATAAATGAAAAGAAAATAAAGTTGCACACATTTTTCAAATAAAAAGGTTGTATAAGGCAAATGGTTTGGAATATAAGATCTACTTTATTATATTAAAAAATTTTTTTTTAATTAGCTACTGGGGATTTGATTAGCTTAGTACGCACCTTTGGCTCTACTGTGCAAGCTTTTAGTTTTGATAATTGCAGATGGATTCAATGCTCATTACAACTACGTTAACCACTGAAACGAAAACTAGTGCAGCAAAGAATTCGCAATAAATTCAGTCAAAAATGAGTGATCTGCAAGTAAAGCCCATATATGTTTTCAAAGATGGCTGAATATTAATCTACAGTGATAAACATTCTGAGAGTTACTAAACTGGTAAAAAGTACTAAAGGCAAAAAGTCAAATATGACAGTCAGTCTTGCTATTCTGTTAGTGCCCTGTAATACCAAAATTCATCCCTAAATACGAAAACAGAATCCTCTATTTATTACTTTTAACAAAATTATACTAATGTTCACTCTGATTTCATTCTCTCTCTCACACACAAAATAATAATAATAAATAAAAAACTAAAATTGCTAAAGCCTGATGAAAGTGATAAAAATGAATAATTTACTCACCATGATTGCCTCTAATATCCAGCCATGTAGTATTAACAGTTACACCAGTTTCATATAAAGTTTGTTGATACATTCGCCATTCTTCAATATACTGACGTGAACCTAACATATCATGAGTCCTTGCATCAACTAAATCGCCTGAAATTTTTTTTTAATATTTGAGAATTTTTTGTAGAAATAATAAATTAGAAAACTTTAAATAATTCATTAGTATAAATAAATGTTATAATACGTATTCTGATGCATTTGAAAGGAAATGCCCTGAATATGTTTAAAAAATTTTGTTGAAGCAATTAATAAACAGACAATATGCATCAAAAGAAACTCGATAAATGACAAAATAAAAAGGTGTTTTTTTATGGGCAAAAATCAATTTTCCACACAATAATTATAAACAAAGTAACCCACTTTTAATATAAAAAATAAAATAAAAACTATTTTATGTAATTAACTTTTTTTAATGAGAAATATTTCATTTGGACTTAAATTTGAACATATATGTTCTAAAAAATCATCACTCCAGTAGAATATTAAATCAAAGGTAAATTCACTAATATTTTTTGTTATCCATTTCTAATGTTTTTATACATTTATACAGAAAATGATTATTCATAATTTTACATATGTATTTTGAGGAGATCTGAACCACTGCTTTAATCTAAGTAATATGTCATATCTAATTATTAATGCATGGTTGAACTAAATAAGAATGAAAACAAATTTAATAACTGCAAGATGATTTCTTTTTTAATGGAGCTGTTGTCATTTCTTTTGATAGATGCAAGGTTTTTTTTTTTTTTTTTTTTTTTTTTTTTTTTTAACTGATTTATAATGATTTACAAAGTTTTTTACATAGAAAATCCACTTTTGTTATCAGATCAGGTGTAGCGGTTTATTGCTTTACTTGTTTGAAATTGATTATAGCAAGATTTTACTGTATTACAAAAAAAGCATTGCATTTTACTGTAATATTACACAGATGATGTCAATTTAATTCAGAAATGCAAATATTTTGTTTGCTTAATCAATAATAGTAAACAAATAACAAAACGATTTGGTAATAAATAACAAAAAGATTTGGTATTTGTTGGCAACAGCAACGAGAGAAGAATATCTATGCCAGTTGGTCATGTTACAGAAATATATCTTGGAAAAAGGTCATGAAGTACCTTTTGTTTAAATAAAAACTGCAACAAATGAACTTAAAGACCTGTGAAACTTGTTTAACCCCCCTCAAACTCAACAGACTGATCTTTTTAACTGACTTGACTATAAACAGAAAAGCTCTACCACTGAGTATGACAATGATAGAAACTATCAAACAAAGTCCAGATACAAAACTCTAAAATCTGTTACATATTTTTAATTAATATACCAATTTTTTGTCTTTTTCAGCAGTTTTACAGAAGTTTAATTCTCTTAGTTACTGCAATTTGAACATCATACCCCAATTTGGTAAGAAAATGTTTAAGATGTATAATTCTATCTACTCCTTAGTAAATACTACTTTAGTGTATTTATTAATGTTTTTCATTTAATTGTAAATTTTTTGTATTTGTATTATTGAATTGACTGTTGTTTTGATTTCTCTACTCACTGATATAAAATCAAAAGGTGGAAAGAGATGTCGGAAGCATGAAAGTTTTCCTTTGTCGATCAGCAACAGGGCAGTTGCATAGAATCAAGACTTTAATGAGAGTGATCGAATATGTTCCATCCCTCCTTTCAATTGACCTAATACCAACAGATTTTAAAATATCAGCTTCAAAAACAATGTCTAATACAGAAACTGTAAAACTCGAAAATACCTGAATTGATTTTGACTTTTAGATACTAAAAAAAAAATAGAACAAGTTGCAGCTTACAATAGTTTCAAATTTATGTACTGTAGAAACATAATTTCCTGAATATAAAGTGGGAAGAATAAGAATTATACACTCTATTAGCAAAAAGATATATATATGCAGAAAAAATTTAGGCCACAACTATGAAACGGGGCATGCAAATGGGGTTTGGCAAGTTGTATAAATGATTAAACTTGCAGCACCAATCAGCATTGTGCAACAACACAATGCATGTCTGGAGTCAGCAGCTGGTAAAATGTAAAAGGGCAGGTGCAGTGAGTGGCGAGCATTTAGTCACACTGACAGTTTGTATACAGGACATTGTAATGAAAGATGCCTCTGATACATACTTAATGGCATTGTGAAGCAAAACTTTGAGAGAGGTTGCATCATAGGGCTAAAAGAGGTTGATTGGTCAAACAGCCGGATCAGCCGATATATTGATTGAAGCAGTATGGTTGTTGTCAGTTGTTGGAACCAGTCGCTCAGCGAAGGCATAGCAGGCGCCACAGGGGCTTGGGACGTACCCAGTGCACCAATGTAAGAGACGATAGCGCAATTAGAAGAGCTGACATGTCTGCACCCACAGTTATGCTATCATAAATTCAACACCATTTGCTGATGTACAGGGATCCAGGGATACGATGGCAGATGATTAGGCACTGTTGGGCTCAGATCTTCACATCCATTAAGACACTTGCCACTGACACTCCACCATAAGCTTTGTCATCTTGCATGGTGCTGCTCTTGCTCAAGCTGGACAGTATGCAATTAAAGAAATGTGATCTTCAGAGATGGATCACTCTTTTCTCTCAATGCTGATGACCGATGCACACATGTTTAGAGGAGAGATAAGCAGTCCAATGTACCATATGTTACCACGTGACACACAGCAGAACACAGGGTATGACAGTCTAGGAAGTGATCAGCTGGGGCATCCATTCACCATTAGCTGCAAGGTACTCTGACTGCTCGCAGGTACATTATGACAACATTTTGCAACTGATCGCACTGCCTATGCTAGTAAGTTGTCCAGCAGAACAACACTCAGCCACATTACAGCACAACTTTCCTAACAATGTCTTCAATGTGTTAATGTCCTCAACTAGCCTGCCAGGTCTCCAGACATAACACCTATCAAATATGTTTGGGACATGTTGGGCAAGCAAATTCAGCCATGAACATCCAAACTTGTGACCAGCTGCTCCATTTGTGACACAATCTAACACAGATTGAGATAACTGGCAACTTAATAGACTCCATGCCCAACCAAATATTGGCTTGTATAGCTGCCAGGGATGGCTTTACCAGTCAATGATTTTCACATTCTTTGTACTACTACTCATAAATTAAATGCTTTTGACATCCCAGTTTTTAATAATTTTTTTACCTACTTGAACACTACACTACTGCTGAATTTTGTAGTTACGGCTCAGTTCTTTCTGGGCGCACATATTTTTTTGCAACACAGTATACAATTACATTACAGTCAAAAGTCGTTAATTCGGACACCCATAATCCGGAATGATCTATAATCCGGACCTCAAAGCTAAAATCTTTCTGCGCATGCGCCGCATTGACGCATGCGCATAGGCGTTTTACTCGTGCGCACAAGACATTTACCACTGCGCATATGCGTCTGCGCAAGTGCAGAATACGTTTTCGCGTGCGCGTTTAATATATAACGGTATAAGCTAAAATTATCTAATTATCTATTTCAATTAATGTTGATGATTGCGTTGTTCTTTAATCTTCGAATTGGATCCGGCTTATTATTTTTTGCAGACTGTAAGAGCAATTTTCTAAAAGTAAGCTTGAACTTTCGATTATGTCAAATAGAATTTCCGATGCTGGAGCTCCCAAAGGATCTAGAAAACAAAAGTATGTTTCGATGTCCATCAAACAAAAAACGAATTGCTACAAAAAATGGATAAAGGCATATTCTTTGTTTATCTAACCATTCCGAAATCTGTTTATCAATTTCACGCTGCTCTGAGCGGGGGGGGGGGGGGGGGGGGGGGGGGGGGGGGGGGGGCGTCGCGGCGCGCAATGAACTGGAAGTTGATTTGTCAACACTATCGTTATCTTCAGGGCAGATGTTTTTATTTTATTCGGCTTATAATTCCTTACTAAATGTAGTATTTAATTTCGGTGTACTCCGTCTTTGATATGATTTAAATCAAATTCCTCGTCATTATAAATATCACGAATACAAATCAAATAGTTTTCTGGTTGCAATTTTCTAATTTCGGCTATGCGTAGGTATGCTTTACGCATCCGCACGTTGAAAGAAATGTTAATAAAAAGTAAACAAATAAATATTAGGCTTCTTTTTTGGTAAATTTTGATACCCTTTAGATCATAATTGCTCATTATTTTATAAATTACGGTTTCATATTTTTAATTTTATAATTTCTGCATGCCATCTTACCAGATTTAAACTGATGATCTATAATCCGGAAAAATCGATAATCCGGAATCGCCGAAGTCCCGACGAGTCCGGATTAAAGACTTTTGACTGTATAACATACATTAATGTGAAATTTCCATTAATCTACTTCAAATGATTCTTTTCCGATGAAACCTTTAAGAACTTTTAAAATCATATAAATACAGACTTGCGTTTTTTGAACTTTCTCGAATTCTAACATTCAGCTTCTGTCATGAAGTCTGGCCACCTCTGTTATATATCAAATAAACGAAAGAAATACCAGAAGCTGATTCAGTTATATATGTTTTTTTTCGTGGCCTAGCATGTATATAACCAAATTACACTAGTAATTTCTTTAACCTTCTATAACTTCAATAGAAGCAAATTTCAAATAAAAATTAAAATATATATTCTATCATTAAGTTGTACATTTAATACATATAATTAAGTTAATAATGAAGTCAAAAAACCTGTTGCAAGAACAACTGAAGGTTGTATTACAGACACAGTTTCAGTACAAAATTTCTTCAAATCAGAGCCACGACTTTGATCTTGAAAAATACTTAAATGAAGATCAGATATCTGAAATTTAGAAAAATGATAATAAATTAACATGAAGATAATTGCATAAACTACGTATAAAATATTAATAATGCTTGAAAATTTATAACATTTATAATTCATAGTAATAAAATTTCAGATTTAATATTTCCCATTTAATTTACTTTAATTTCTAAGAATTTTGTAACCGGCACTTTGCTCTATTTGAATGATAAATATAATACCTATAATTTGCATAAAAGTACATCAATTCAACAACAAATTATTTTTTATATATAAGAGAATTGCAACTCAACAAATGAAGATTTAACAGATATTTCAGTTTAACAAATTTTTGCTTTTTTCCCAATGAAAGTTAAGCAAAAAATCCTAATCTGAAGAATAAGTAACCCTAGTTTCATTTTCTCTGTTCACAAACAACTTACAACCATCCTCATTTCAAGCACTGGTCTTGATTGGATTATTAAATTATGGCAAAGTGCATGAGGGCTATCTGCCTAAAGGTAGGGATGCCTCGTGGAGGACTTTCTAAGGGAAACTGGCTTGTATATATGTTACACATGGGAAAAACCACGAAAACACCCATAGCCAGCCTGTTCGCCACTGGTCTTGAAATCAAGTCACAATCCTGGAAATGCAGCAGGCTTGTAAGCTAATATCTTCAAACCATTAAGAAACAATATAAAAATGAAAATTATCTCAAGCTTAATGCAAAATATATATGTGAAAGGAAATGATACATTCATATTTTTTGAAAGGCAAAAGAAAGCTATTAATAGTCAGCAATGACTCTTTAGAAACTCTCTATTTATTATAAGCCTTCTGTTAAAAAGAATTATTTTATGAGAGCTACTGATACTTTGAAATTATCAGCAATATGTCATTCTGATCAAACCTGAACCATTCGAATATATGAGCCCATACTAAAAAATGGCAGGTTTTACTGCCTGACTTTTTTCTAAAATTCTCTAAACTGCATTCTCTAAAAGGTTATCATATACAGTGATAAGTAATGCCATAAAAATTTTTTCCCAGAACTTATTTGAATGGGAGGTTTCTGGTAGAAACTGTACTATTCAGCAATCTGCTGTACATACATACATGGCACATTTTACAAAGCTGGGTACAGTTTTTTGCCTGAAGTTCTATCTCACATAGGAGATGAAGGTTTGGTTTCATTTGTTTTGCTTGTTTAATTACGGCAAAACACTCAGGGGCTGTTTGCTTAGGGAGAGGGATCCTTTGTGGAGGTCTTTCTAAATGACACTGGCTTGTATAAGGCTACACATGGGGAAAACCATGAAAGCACCTACACAGTCAGCCCATTCGCCGGATTCGAACTCCATACCGAACTACCAGTGTTCAGCAACTTTACAGTTTGGATGCTCATGTGCCTAGGACAGAACATAGTTCTGGGAAGTGTTCAATCAATCGGGAATGCACAGTTGAGGAGAGCTAGCAAGTCTGTTAACAGTTTTAGAGACATCTCAGCAGAACTCAAGTTTGAACAAATATGTAAGAACTTTTTCATTCCCACTGATGTCTGAATCAGAAAATGCTTGCTGTTGCGTAAACCAAATAGGTTTAAGCAACAGTGTACCTTAGAGTAAAGTAAAATTAAACTTACCTTAGAGTAAAGTAAAATTAAAATGATACTTCTGTCTTTGGTAAGAAATGGAAATTGACGTGTTTCAGCCTCGGTGAGAACAAATTATCATCAATGCACATAAGTATTTCATTTAATGTCTATGGTTACTGGTCTGAACATGCACATGCAGTTTATGTTTCTTCAACTTTAAAAAAAATTCTCAATTTTTCATTGCTAAAATTTAATTACAATTTCCAACATTCCATCTTATGGAAATCAGTGAAATAACATTAAAAAAAAAAAAAAAGTTACAGCTTATTATCATCTGGAGTCCTATCTAGCAAAGTTTATGTTCAGGCATCATGTCAGACATGATAATATATTTGATGCATTAGCAGCAGCAGTTGCAGAATTATGACCATCAGAAAGTGTCTATTTAAAACAAATTTCTGGTATATTTCTAGATTTCATTTAAATTTAAATAAATTCCTTGTACAAAATTCATTTATTTAAATAAATTCTTTGTAAAACTTTACTAAATAAAAGGTAGTTTTTCATTATCCACATCCCCATAAAAAAGTTGTCAGCTTATTGGCAATTCTGAAACTGCCGGAAAACATTTTGTGTATCTTTAGGACACAAACTTAACTTTCCTGCTTGTAAATAATAATTATAAAAATAACAAGAAATTTTATGAGCACAAATGCAAATTTACACAGATAATTTTACAGCCACCGAATACTTGTCAGCAAAATGATGGTTAAACATAAAAACTGTAAATTCATGTTAACTCAAACATGCATGTGCCATGTCATAGGTACTTGCATAGGTTGGCTATTAGGCTAACCTTTGGAATATGGTAACAGGTAGTTTGGTGACATTTTGGTAAGGCGATAAAGGTTACTAGCTAGGACATTAGCAGTGTACATGTATAAAGTCAAGAGTGTATGCAATGCCATTTTTGTGCAATTCTGGGATGTTTTTTTTAAGTGAAAATAGGTCGACGTGTACATGGATACCGTGTATATGCAATTCTTAAAAATGCGGCAAGCAGTTTGCGATTCTGCACTTTCTCCCAATTTCGCACCTAATCTTCGTGATGATTAAGCACTTTTGTTCCATAAAAGTTCTAGCATAAGCGTAATTCGGATAGCAGATTGTTGGAAAAAAATGTTGAGTTAAAAAAAAAATGCCTTTACTTTGTGAAAACAAAATGGTGTTCAAACAAAAACTAGCAGGGTTAGCAAATTTTCGTTAAAAAATTGCCAAGTTACCATAATCCAAAGATTAACCCGCTATGATAGCATGAACATGCAAAATACACCAGAAACACAAGCAGTTTGCACAGAGTTGGATAAATTATTAAGCAAAATAAGCAAATACTTAGGACATCAAGAAAAGGGATGCCACATAAAGATCATCACTAATTCAAGGAAAGGTACACCACAAAAAAATTCCACTGCCAATTTTACTATGCAATGTTGAAGCTAAATTGAGACTGAGAAAGAAAACTTGGAGGGGGGCATAAGTATGTAATTCGTTACATTTGAGGGCACCAAAATCTTTTAAGTGCTTAAGGTCTTTAAAAGTCTTAACACAGCTTTGGGCCTGCGGATATCAGAGAGTAACCATATAAAATAAGTAAAAAAAAAAAAAAAAAAAATATTAAGTTGCTTCTTTATCTGTATATTAAATCAACTATATAATGTAGACATTGAATGAATTGACTGTATGTATTGGTAACTGAATATTTCTTAATGAGGCTGAAACAAGCCATTTCATCTATTTCTCAACATGATTTACTATATCACAGAAATTTTAAAGATAACTGGATTAAATACTTAGAAACTTTTTTTGGATTAAAAAAACAATTGAATTTTAAACTAATTTAACAAAAATGTTAGTACATAATCAGAAAATTATCACAGTTAAAATGGAAAATTTCAGTTTTAACATTAACTATAGCAGAATATTAAAGAATGTACTCTGAACTATGAAGAACATTCCTCAAAAAGAAATGCAGTACCAGAAGTAGAAGAAAAATTGTTGCAGTGAATTACAAAGACTTGGACCAGAACAGTACAGTGAATTGATTTATTTTAAAATAAAAAACTCAAATTAATGCTAAAGAATTCGATTCGCTAAGTTACATTTTCATGCTGGTTGTGATGGAAAAAAAAAATTATATACATATATCAATATATTATAATAACGACATTTTAAATAAAGAAGATAATCAGTAATTGCTATGGGTAACCAAAAAAATTGTCTGAATGAATGGTGAGACAACAAAAAAGGGCAAAATGAAATTTTGCTTGCAGTTCTTGAAAAAGTACTCTTTTTGCAACATCTTTACTGCTGATGAGACTAGCTTATATTTCCTAATATATGGTCAGATAAAATGCTGTAGAGGCCTTTTTTTTTAAGAAAAAAGGGGGGGAAGTCAAACAAAAATTCAAAATTTTTTAAACAGATTACAGTCAAAAGTCATTAATTCGGACACCCATAATCCGGAATGATCTATAATCCGGACCTCAAAGCTACAAACTTTCTGCGCATGCGTTGCACTCACACATGCGCACTGGCATTTACGAGAGCACGTAAGACCTTTACGGCTGCGAATATGTTTGTGTGCATGCACGTTTAATGTGTAACGGAGTTATCCGCTAAGCTAAAATTATCTAATTCAGTTAATGTTGCAGATTGCGTTGTTAATCTTCAAATTGGATTCGGTTTATTATTTTTTGCAGACTGTTAGAGCAATTTCATAAAAGTAAGCTTGAACTTTCGATTATGTCAAATAGAATTTCCGATATATATTTACTAATATGTAATTTGTATCTACAAAGCGAAAGTATGTTTTGAAATCCGAAATCTGTTTATTAATTTCACGCCACGGATTGGAAGTTGATCTGTCAGCACTATCCTTATCTTCAGGGCAGATGTTTTTATTTTATTTGGCTTATAATTCCTTACTAAGTGTAGTATTTCATCTCGATGTACTCCGTCTTTGATATGATTTAAATCAAGTTCCTCGTGATTATAATTCGCTTCCGATAGTGTAGAAAGTGACCCAGAGGTTATTGAAAACGAAAACATTTCGATTGACAAATTAGTCGGTATTCTCAACACAGCAATTATAGGACTTGAACAGCGGAACTTTGTAACTAAACAAGAAATTATGTCTGTTTAATAGAATTAAAGAGAAAGTATTACCACAAGAAACGAAGCAACTTACATTGAAAGAAATGTTTAATAAAGTAAACAAATAAATATTAAGCTTTTTCTTTTTGTAAATTTTGATACCCTTTAGATCATAATTGTTCTTTATTTCATAAATTACGGTTTCATATTTTTAATTTTGTAATTTCTGCATGCCATCTTACCAGATTTAAACTGATGATCTATAATCCGGAAAAATCGATAATCCGGA